CTGGGTTGAGTTCAATGACCGTTGTTGAGACCAAGTCAAACAGCAGCGATGCGACCCCATCACCCCCGCCTGTTTTGGTAGTTGATATAAAGTCTAACATTGGAAAACCGGGAGCGTTGTTATTTTCTCTCGACGTTGAGGGCGTTATTTTTATCAACTTCACTCTGCGATGTGCGTCGTTAGAAACGATGTACACCCTCACCGCCACAACGTCGACTCACAACATTGCGCGCATCGTCCAAGGTCACGTGTTCAACATCTCCTGCCAGTCGGCCGTGCCGATAGACACTCACAACACGAACGACAAATCTCAACTTTCGGGAATTTCCGAAAACGAAGTTACCAAAAACGAAAGTACAGTCAACTACATAGGCTTGGTTACCGGGGAAACGAACATGACAATTTCAACCAGCAACATTGGACGCTCTTTTCTATTCATCACTGCGCAGATAATTTCAGGACCAGAACTGGACAGCCAAAATGAACTTTTACCTGAGATGTTGAACTCACCCTCGGCAGGTGAAGTAGTGGGGCGGGCAATGGTCATCGTGATGCAGCTCCCACGGACGATTGACCAAGTATTTCAAATCATGCTCTACTTGGTCATCATCCTAGCCACCATTGGCATGGGGGTCAACGTGGAACTGCCCATCGTCAAGACTGTCCTCACGAGACCCGTGGCGCCACTCATTGGACTCGCCTGCCAGTATATTGGGATGCCTCTGGTTCGTATACTATATATCGCATTTTAAAATATATTGCTGGAATAACAAATCTCATTCGTACGTTTATTGGCAGATTTTTGCTTGTACAGTTAGTGTTGGAAATTATGGTCCAACTTTAGCACTTTAGCTGTCATACTTACCATTGTATCCCGTCTGATCCTGAAATATTGACCTGTGTCTTGCCTTGAACCTTCAGTGACCTTGACACTGTATTTTATAGATACAGAACATGGTACTTTTGTTTAATTTGAGTTTAATTCCCAAACTTCCGATAAATATTAGTACACTTTGCACGTACGAGTTTTCTTGTTAATAAATTACGAATATCTTTTATGAGTAGCTAAAACTGTCGGTGTAATTCACTCAGTCGTCGAGCTGCTCTGAGTTTTGTTTGTCTCAAAAAAGGTTTATACCAGATACAATAACTACATAATCTTATGATCAAAATCAGAGGCGTCGATAGGAGTTTGTCATGGGATGGAGGGGGTTAAAAATGTTCACACACTCCCTCTCACACACCACACACACACACACACACACATATATATATATATATATATATATATATATATATATATATATATATATATAACGAATGTGTACATGCAACATTGTTGTTTTTATGACGTGCAATAGTTTCAAACAGTAAACATAAAGTGACACGAACGCTATGAGGTTACCAGAGGATTTTCATTTTGGGAGTATATGGGGGGGGGGGGGGGAGGGGTTACAAATATCACATAATTAATGTATGCGTTAGACATTCTCCATGACATGTCCGTACTGAGAGAATGTACGTATAGTTTTATATTTCATCATCCGTATAGCATAAAGCAAGCACAAGTCATGTATGTATGTCAGTTTGGTGTGAACTAAAACATATGTTACATTCTAGTCTTGTATACACCATTAGCCCTATCAAATGAGATATCGATACATTAAGGATTTAAGATTAGCTATTTCATTTTCAAGTAGTGAAATAAATCAACTTGAAACATTGCTGAATGCTAAGTAGTGGTTGAGACACTATGTAAAAAATTAGCCCCGCCGACATTCGCCCAATTTCTCTTCTACTGACACGTCGTCGCCTTAAAAAAAGTGGTAACTGATTCCCCTCCCACCTTAACATACGCCCATACACATTTAAAACAGTGTCACTCTTTCCATCTCCCCCCAACCCTCCTCCACACACCCACACTGTATGTCGCCTATTACTCCCAAAAAAAATAGTCACAGTTTTATTTTTATTTTAAATAACTTGTTTTTTTCGTTATTTTGATCCACTATAAAAAATGATTTTTTAAATAATTTAAAAAAGCCCTCGCCCCTTCTCCACACAGCTTGTCGCAACAAAACGTTCAGTACTTGGATATCCTTTTGTAGCAATTACAATCCATCAATCTATTTTCGTTAAGGGTTGGTAAACTACACAACTTGTTTGTTGATTACTTACACATATGTGCACACGGAGCACAGGTAAGCACATATTTAAACAATGGGTAGTGACGTCACAGACTTACGGCTGTATCGGCCTCGGTTGGTCCGGGGCTATCGTCCATCGTGCAGTGGTCTGCCTGGTTTAAGAGCGTAGCTCGAGCCGATTATGCCCGGAGAAGATAATCTCTGCTTTCTACTTTAGTCTGTGCTTCCAAACGGAGCAGTTCGGTCATAGATACAGAGGCGTAGCGAGGGGAGGAGTACATATTTTCCCGGGCACCGACCCTAGGGGGCGCCAAAATGGGTTGGAAAAAAAAATTAAAAGCTCATTTTAGCTGCAGTTTTGCATTATAAATATAAAAAAATATATTGGAGTGGGGGGGGGGGGGGCGCCAAATTGAAAGTTTGTTACCGGGGGGGCGGGGCGCCGTGAAGGATCGCTAAGCCTCTGCATAGATGTAGCTCACTAAATCAAAATAAATGATTAGGTACGATGACAATGCAACCATACATCTGTACATATACAGTTGTGTTGTCAGTCAAGCAATTTTTTTTACTTTTTTACAAGTCCATCATCATTTTTCCTCATTATTGCCCAAGACACATGGCGCAGATGAAGTAGATTTCATCTGTTTCAGTGACCTCAGCATACAGTGGGGTGGGAGGGGGGATAGATTGGTCAATACTATGCCTAGCCGAATTTGTTTCTCTAACGTAGGTTAGGTGCCCTTCACAGTTGGGTAGACTCAGGGGAAGTCCTAAACCCCGGGATTTGAACTCGAGACTTTCGGGTTAGCAGTCTAGCGAGTTCATCGAGTTTATTCATGAAAAAAAATCTATTAAACTAAGCGCTGAACAACAAGAAATTTTCAACGGTGAAATATTTTAGACACGTATGTTGTCTTTCTTATAAAGCTCTCATCTCTCGCTCACGGCTCCTCAATAAAATATTAATGTCATCACGCTTTTAAAAAAACTTTTTTTTATCTCCCCCATCCCCTGTGTCACACATCGTCACAAAAAGCCACCTCCTCCCTAAAATGACGTCACACATCAGCCTACAATCCCTCTCGAAATTAAAGTTTAATTTTTTTAAAACATCGATTTCTTTCTAACATATTGGCTGAGCTCGGTTAAGATGAAGTATATTAATCAATTTCTATTACAGTGTACAAAAACAGTTGTTTTTTTCTTTTAAAAAGCACAAAATAACGGATAAAGTTCGGTTTCTATCATAACTCTTTTTAATTGCAAAAGCATGACGTCTATCTATCTGGACCTCACTCCCCCCCATTCTCCCTCAACACACTTCGTCACAAAGTTACGGATCTTCCACTCTTCCTACGAGTGTGACGTCATTTATGGACAGAAGATTTAAAACATGGACTAGAAAGTCTAACTATTTACAAAGCACTAGTGACTGGATCCTTCCAAAATCCTGGGAGACTAGTGTCTGTGGGAGCGCTCATATACTGTTGCATATCTTGAACACAGGTGAATACAATAAGTCTACTTTATGTAATTTGCTATAAGCATCAAAGTTATTTACTGCAAGAAGAAATGTGTAAGAAACGGGCTTTTTCTTTTGTTTATATTTGAAATTGACCGCGCTTACCACACAATTAGGCAAACAATAGACTAATGACCAGTTACGTTTAACTGTAGAGTAAATGTTCTACTTACACTTGATACGGCTAGGTTTGAAACTGTGCTGCTTATATATTTTTTAATTGATGGATTTACAATTCAACAATAAAACAATTATTACTAAAAATAAATCTCCAGAATTTTGACGTTTCAACTAGTACTTAATTAACGACGTTTAAATTGTAATTTTATCTTCCCAAAATTTAGCTGCAAGTTTTTTTTCTTAAGAGCTATGCATACGGTTTTTTTTAGTTTATATATATATATATATATATATATATATATATATATATATATATATATATATATATATATATATATATATATCGCCTGACGGCTCTATAAAAGCTACCATGCTAGGTTGTACGGTAGCAGCTACCCCGCTGTGACCCCTAGCCGTCCAACTTGTCGTAAAGTCGGTACGTCTCGTTCGTCTATCCCTCGACTACACAGTACACCCGCACGTACCCGGTCCTAAACGGGACCAAACATCTAGTGACATTTGGGTGAAAAACTAAGTGGCAGTGTTAGCGGTAAAAAAAAATACATCTGTGTCAGCTGTTAGGCTGCATAAGTACACGCTGACTTGAGTGGTGATTTCTTGGATTGGAAACATGTTTGGATTTGCATTCAATTTTTACGGAGCGCGCTGTTCTAAAACTAATTCAGTTAGTGTTCAATGAAATAACAGTTTGGGAAGCAGATATATTTTTTTTTGTTCATAGGGTGTAATTATTTTTTTTAAAGAAAATATTCATTAATTTTTTATAATGGCTAAATTAATAGCGCGTGTGATGTTCAGTTTGTGTTTTCTATCTGGGTTGAGTTCAATGACCGTTGTTGAGACCAAATCAAACAGCAGCGATGCGACCCCATCACCCCCGCCTGTTTTGGTAGTTGATATAAAGTCCAACATTGGAAAACCGGGAGCGTTGTTATTTTCTCTAGACGTTGAGGGCGTTATTTTTATCAACTTCACTCTGCGATGTGCGTCGTTAGACACGATGTACACCCTCACCGCTACAACGTCGACTCACAACGTCGCGCGCATCGTCCAAGGTCACGTGTTCAACATCTCCTGCCAGTCGGCCGTGCCGATAGACACTCACAACACGACCGACAACTTTCAACTTTCGGGAATTTCCGAAAACAAAGTTACCAAGAATGAAAGTACAGTAAACTACGTAGGTTTCGTTACCGGGGAAACGAACATGACAATTTCAACCAGCAATATTGGACGCTCTTTTCTATTCATCACGGCGGAGATAATTTCAGGACCAGAACTGGACAGCCAAAATGTACTTTTACCTGCGATGTTGAACTCACCCTTTACAGGTGCCCGACCTACAAACCTATCTAACAACGTGTGGGTATCACTAGACCGGCCCGAGGGGGTCCAGTACAAGGCCCCTAACGTTGTGGGCCGGGCGATGATCATCGTGATGCAGCTCCCGCGGATCATCGACAACGTCTTTAGGATCGTGTTGTACGTGGTCATCATCATGGCCACCATTGGCATGGGGGTCAGCGTGGAGCTGCCCGTCATCAAGGCTGTCCTCATGAGACCAGTGGCGCCGCTCATTGGACTGGCCTGCCAGTATATCGGGATGCCTCTGGTTCGTATACTGCTAGAATTGTACACTTTGTCCATATGGCTAATAGCATTGGCGTAGCGAGGTCGGGTGTCACCCGGTGCGGCACTTAATGGTATCACCCCCCCCCCCCCCCAGAGGCGTAGCGACCCTTCCCGGAGACAAACTTTCAATTTTCGATTTGCACCCCCTCCGCCCTCAAACTTTCGATTTGCACCCCCCTCAAACTTTCTATTTGCACCCCCCCCCCCTCAAGTTTTTCTCTAATTATTTTGCTATTTTTTGCCTTGGTGTCACCCCCCTAAATGGTGTCACCCGGTGCGGTCCGCACCCCCCTCGCTACGCCTCTGGCTAATAGTAAGAATGTGCCGAAGGTAGATTTTGGTGTTTATGCATTTTCTACGTTTTTCCGTAACATCCCTCCACCTCCCTACCAAACCTTAATTCTAAGTTTTTTTCTCTGTCGGTAACAGTGTAACAGTAACTCACTACTGTTTTTTCATAGAACATGTTAGAGTTTTGCTTTAGGTTTCCTTGTAGTTTACTGCCTCTGCTTTATGTAACTGTTTGCATTGAACTTGCAAGACGTGAAGTATGGTACCTGTTACTCCGTGTTGGTGTAAGTAGAAATGGGTTCATTGTTCATAAATTTGTTTACTCTCATCATGTGGGATGATAGAACATTTATCGTTTACTAAGGCCAACATTCATAGCAACAACAGGTTTTTTTTTTTTGCACCACCGAAACACAATAACATGAAACATAACATCGTGAGTTGTTTTTTAATGTCATACTATTTAAATGTTGGAAAATTAATGCAACTAATTTATATCACGAAAAACCTAATTAATCCAACTATATTATTGATTGAATATTACCACAAAATGTAAATCTTAAATCTTTAGCAATCACTCGGTCAATGGCTAAAAAGATGCGTAGTCCCTAATTACTTATGTAGCCATTACAGCCGAAAGATTTTTTTTTTATTGTTTTCAAAAATACTACAAGAGAACATTTTAGAGCCCTATTATTCGGGGCCCTTTAATCAGCCACTTTATATAGGCTGGCTCATAAAATCACAAATCATTTAAACTTTGTCAGAGAATTTAGTGTTTGTGTTATCTGTTAACACTGTTAATCTTTTGTGCATAGGATTATCTCAATGAATTTTGCATACCTCTAGGTTTAAGATCAGTGTTTCTTTCAGACTTTTTTTTATATTTTCGGGGGAGGGGGGACGGACAACATTTCCGGGGGGGGGGGGGGGGGGCGGACACTGGTAAAAGTATATTTTTTCTAAATATATTCCATTTCATTGGGGGGTGGGGTGGTAGACTTTCTTCGACTCCCATTCGAAGAGATGCATGGAAGAAACTCTGTTTAAAGTTTGGGTTAGGTTGAGGTATCGTAATCGGCGTTAAGAGATATCTGAGTATTTAGGTCATAGCCTGTATCATATCCAACTGCCTTGTTTAAACCCCTCGATATTCTCGGTTGGCTGACCAAGCGAATCGGGGCACCCACGGTCCAGTTGATTTACCCAAACACCGGATACGGCTCATGGATTAGCAGAAAAAATCTGGGATGTTTGGCTAGGGGTCATTCAATCTTCTGGGCGGTGACCTAGTTCAAAAACTGTAATTTGGAACCGATGCACACTTTTTAACTCGATATGAAAATGGCGTATATTTTTAGTTTTTGCGATATAAAAAAAAAAAAAAAATACGGCTGTCTGGCTTTCTTTCCCTAATACGGTGGGGTTTTTTTAAATTATAAACTTTAGACTTGATGATCATAGTCAGATAAAGACCATCTATATATATAATTCTCTTCTGGGAGCCGTTAGAAAACAAGCTGCAAGCGCCTCTTTGCAGTCCCCTCTCTTTCTCTCTATCACTATCACTACCACCCCCACCCCACCCCCACATTGTCTGGTGAGTTGTGGTCACGCTAAATGTTTACAAAGCTAAATGTTTACAAATCGTAGAGCCGTAGAGCCGGGTTTCTATTAGGGGCAGATAATTTAGTTCGATTTTAAACTTACAGGAGGTAACTAAGAAATAACTAAGAGGAGGCTGCTTTCACGGGGGGGGGGGGGGGGGGGAGGGATGTAGGGTTGGGGTTAGGGGAAAGGGGGGGGGTTAGTGTTTAAAAGCAAATATATTTTCAGTGGCAGCATTGGTACTGTCGAATTCACAAATTATGAATTACTGAAAAGTAGAAAATAAAACAACTAAATAGCGGCGTATGATACGCCGCGGGTCGGCTCGTGAATTCATATTTTATGATCAAGCCACAGTTGCTTCCCTTTGTTATCTTACTTTTCTAACTTTAAAGTAAACATATTTTTAAATTATCAAACAAAAAGGTTACAATTTTAGTGAGATGTTTTCCAAAAGTATACAAGAATTACAGGATATTTTACACCATTCTTTACTTGTATTTAGTAATAAAGTTCTCTTTCAAACCTGACGGTCTATAGGGCATGAGTTAGGTACTCATCAGGGTTGGGTGGACTCAGGGACGGTCTACTGATTTGAACCCGGATTCGAACTCGAGACTTACGAGTCCCCATTTACTAGTACATTATCATTTTAAAGAGATGTGCACGCGATTTTTTTTTGCATTTTCTTAGTGTTAAATTTAGTAAGTTTCTCAGCGTTAGGGAGGAGATATCTTAATTATCGCCCTTTTTATTGTTATTGTCTTCCCTGTCAATCTTTCTTCTTCTTCTTCGTTCTTAATTATTAGTGTTGAAGGGGATCGAGAATTATCTTCCAGTACATTTGGACTCGAGACTTTGTTTAAATTTATCAACCATGAGCTTTTTGCCGACTCGTCCACGCCTCCAACACTCCCATTTTAGCTTGCTTTTCTTTTTGGATTTGCTTCCATATATTATAGCCTTTGTCTACAAGGCAGTAGTTGTTTAATTTTGGAGTTGTCTCTCCTAGAAGAGTGGCTGTCCCCAGCTAACGAGCCTCGTCTGGCCGGGGGTTCGAACTCGAGACTTTTCGGTTTAGCAACCATGAGCTTTACCGACTCGACCACGCCGACCCCTTTCCCTGTCAATAAATACTTATCAATAAGCTGTGGGAGAAAACAGAGATTTGTGTAGGATGGGGGGTGGGGGATAAAACGCAGTAGACCCGAAACTGAAGCCAGAAATATCAATGAAATCTTCACTCGACACTGCCAACAAACAAAACACTTCCACCTAAACAGTTTGACGACATCCACCCCAATAGTAGCGGGGAAAAAAACCCCACACTGATTCAAACAACAACACGATATGCGATGTATTTTTGTTCACGCTTGGGTGAATTAATTACCGACACTTGCCATTGAATTTATAGACCGATGCAGAATAAATAATTAGTCAACACACAAAATTTAACCTCTTGACTTCAGTGTGTTTTTAACTTTAAAAAAATAATAAGTCCGGATCGACCGTTACCTTTTTTTTAAAGCATGTTTTTTTTTTAATCTTACATCCCCAATCTAAAAAAAGTTAATGATAATTAAATGTTGTTTACCGTCAAAATACGGGACGGATGTTTAGTATATGATTGTGTGTGTGTGGGGGGGGGGGGGGGGGGGGTAAGGGCAGGGCAGGGCCGGCGATACCTATAAGGCGAACTAGGCGGTCGCCCAGGGCGCCCTCCCTAGGGGGACGCAAAAGGTTTAATAGCTATTATCAGAAAAAGTACCTAATAATTAATAATTTTTATAAAGGAGTAGCGATCTATTTCGGCACCCACGACGAACTATCAATTTTGCACCCCCACCCCAAAATTAGGTCTATATAGGCCTATATTTATTAGCGATGGTGAAAATGCAACCCTACCTCCGTAATTTAGTAAGGTCAGGGCGCTTTTAACCAGTCACTTTACCTTTTTAATTTGGTGTCACATAATTCAAGTAGAAAACGATTAAATATTAGTTCGTAATTTAAATTTCGAACATTTCAAACGGTTATCTAATTTTAATAGGGCTTGTAAGTCTTGTTTTCTCTGGCTTTGAATTAATTAATCTGTCCTGGTGTATAGAGTTTTGTAATGACGGGGTGTTCAAAGTATTGTACTTGTTTGGTGACTTTTGATGAATCGTTTAGATTTGGGAGTTACGGCGGAAGGCTGTTGCTGATATGGTTTCATAGGTATAACGTATCGAAGGGTTAAAGAGTCATCATTTTTATTCGGCTGGTTTGTAGTTGAATGTCTAGTGGAATCTGATTGGTAATAGAGAAATGGGAATGCAGGTGATGAAGTATCGTAGTTCTGGAGTTCGGGAGTATTGATTCTTGTGGTATTAAGGTATCGAATTATATTGACTGTTATATATATATATATATATATATATATATATATATATATATATATATATATATATATATATATATATATATATATATATATATATATATATTCTTTACTTTATTTATTTATTCTTTACTACACCTTTCATTAGATCGCCATGAAACTTTAGGAAGTTGTTGAGAAT